AGTTTTAGTCAATCAAGTTTAAATAGGCCTCCCATAGTGGGAATGTACGGCCCGAGATGCCTATTAAACTTAGAGCTGTGTGTGTGTGTCTGGGGGGGGAAAAGTCCTTAGTAAATCCAGATTAGAACTGGTCTGATAAATGCTGAGCTGGGTGTGTGTGAACATGGGTTGATTAGCATTTGGAGCACAGATTCCCCATCATGCAGTGCTCCCCTGCTTCTCTGGTCCCAGAATTCACTGCAGTCTCTGCTTCAGGCTTTCTGATCTCCATCTCTCATGTAAATGAATGGTCATCTGGTTCCATCTCAGATGCAAATGAGACCTAGAGCAGTTGTTTCACACTTGTCAACCTTATCTGGAGGGTCTTAGGTGTGTCTCTCACTGCATATTAATCAGTTTCATTTATGCAGAGGAGGGGAGGGAGGGGGAATTCTTTGTGAGTCAGACAGACTGCATCCTGTGCCAGGGTTCCCAAGAACACACAGCTGAGACATAACATGGGGTACAACCGTGGTCAGCTTAAGGCCCTCAGGGGCCTTAGGTATATCATGACATCCATTCCTTATTTGCATCATGGTTTTACTTTTTAACTATGACCCTTCCCCCCTCATGAGGCAAGATGGTGATAGGGGCTTCCTCACATTCCATCGTGGCAAATGCAGCCAGTTTAAGCCCACTTCTTTCTTCACCTGGTGCAGTAACAGTATTCTTCCTCATTTCGTTATGGGCAGCATCAAGAGTTCTGTCTGGAAAGGTGGGGATAGTACCAGAAGGGAGTTCCCAGGTCTTATGCTAGTTACCAGAGTTTGTCTGCTTTAGTGGGTAGGCCAAAAATATGCATTCAGTATGGATTCGCAAAGGGCAAGTCATTCCTGACCAACCTGATTGTCTTCGATGATATGACTGGCTCTGTGGATGCAGGGAACGCAGTGGATGTGGTATACCTTGACTTTAACAAGGCTTTTGATATAGCCTCCCGCAGCATTCTTGCAAGCAAATTAAGAAAGTCTGGGTTAGATGAATAGACTGTAAGGTGGATAGAAAGTTGGCTGGGGAGTCAGACTCAGACAGTAGAGATCAATGGGTCAATGTCTGCTTGGCAGCTGGTATCAAGTGGAGTGCTCCAGGGGCCAGTTCTGTTCAATGTCTTCATTAATGATCTGGAAGATGGGATGGAGTACACCCTCAGCAAGTTAGTGGATGACACCAAGCTGGGGGGAATAGTAGATATGCTGGAGGGTAGGGCTAGGATTTAGAGTGACCTAGACAAACTGGTGGATTGGGCCAAAAGGAATCTCATGAGGTTCAACAAGGACAAGTGCAAAGTCCTGCATTTAAGACGGGAAAAATCCCGTGTACTGCTACAGGCTGGGAATTGTCTGTCTGGGCAGCAGCTCTGCAGAAAAGGACATGGGGGATACAGTGGACTAGCTGAATGAGAGCCAACAGAGTGCCCTTGTTGCCAAAAAAGCTAACAGCATACTGGGCTGCATTAGTAGGTATGTTGCCACCAGGTCAAGGGAAGAGATTATTCCCCTTGATTCAGCATTGGTGAGGCCACATCTGGAGTACTGTATTCAGTTTTGGCCCCCCACTAGAAAGGTTGTTGACAAATTGGAGAGAGTCCAGCAGAGGGCAACGGAAATGATGAGGGGGCTGAGGCACATGACTCATGAAAAGAGGCTGAGGGAACTGAGAATATTTAGTCTTCAGAAGAGAAGACTGAGAGGGGATTTGATAGCAGCCTTTAACTACCTGAAGGGTGGTTCTAAAGAGGATGGAGCTAGATTGTTCTCAGTAACGGCAGGTGACAGAACAAGGAGCAATGAGAGGTTGTGGTATCTCCATCCTTGGAGGTTTAAGGCCCAGCTTGACAAAGCCCTGGCTGGAATGATCTAGTTGGGTCTACTTTGAGCAGGGGATTGGACTAGATGACCTCCTGAGTTCCCTTCCAACCCTAATCTATGATCCTCTGCAGAGTCCTCTTGTTTAGCTGATATCAAAATTAGAGAAAAGCAGGACTGGAAGGGATGTCAGGAGGAGGTCATCTAACCCAGCACCTTGTTCAAGGCAGAATCATCCCTGATTAAACCATCTCAGCCAAATTTTTGTCTAAGCTGCTCATAAAAACTTCCAAGGGTGGAGTTTCTATAGTCTCTCTAGGTAGCCTGTTGAAAAGTTTAACCAACTTCATTATGAGAAAGTTCTTCTTAATATCCAACTGTAACGGGATGGCCTCCTTGTCAGGTCTATGCCGGCTGCCCTGCTCCTGGGGGTACTGGCCCGCTTTGCTTTCCTGCCACACCTTGATGGTCCGGCCCCTTTTTCCTTCCCTGCCACACCTTGATGGAAAAATATGAGAGTTGTTGCTAAGGCTGGAGGCTACCCATTACTTGACCTGCTGACAAGGGCCTAATACCCACTCCAACCTCCCTTCCATGGGCCCATGCCTCGCAGATGTTACTCTGTGTGTGTTACTTCTCTGGCCTATGACTGGAGCAAACTGGGAACACAGTTGTAGCTCTTCTCTACAGCCCCAGAGGGCCACTCACACACCACCCCTCTCTCACCAGGGTCCCGCTCACTCTGCTGGCGCTCACCCAGCCTCTTTCATACTGCGCTCTCTTAGGGCCACACTTATCCTGCCTGGCCTCACCCGGCTTTGGGCTTAGCTCTCCTCACCTTGGTTAGCCCCGGCACAGTCTGTTGGGTGTCTCCTGCTACCCTCACCTGAGTGTTGACTGAGCGATTCTGCAACTGGAGGTATATTTCGCTCCTGGGCCCTCACTGGGCCACTATGCCTCCACTGGGCCTCCTCACTCACCCACACTTCCAGGGTCTCTCCAATAGTTGCCCCTCTCACTCGGGGTCTCACTCGCGCCCCTACGCTTTCCCCTGCTGCCTGGGTGCGGCCCCCTTCTCCAGCCTGAGCTCTACCTCAGGGCTCCTTAACGAGCCTGGGCTCCCCCTGCTCGTTAGGGCACCACCAGGGATGTGAGGCTGGGGTTATAAAGGTGCCCCAATCCAATTTTCTCCAGGGAGGTAACTGGCCTCGCATTTCCTGGGGGCTCCCACACCACTAGGAGCCCCACCAGACTACCCTTCTCCGGCAGGTTGCAGTTTTACATCTTACCCAGGACAAGGGGTCACCTCTGCCCCTGCCCTTACCTCCTAATATTCCCAGAGCAGCCTTTCAGCCTGATGTTACCTCCTTCCTCCTGCAGCAAACTGTAGCCTAGCTCATCTCACTGGACCAAAATGGCTGCCCTAATCAGGCACCTGGCTGCTACCTGTTTTTCTGCCCTTAAAGTGGCCCTGCC